GGGCGGGGGTGGCGATGACTTTCCGGCACTGGCCTGCAGCTTGGAGGAGAAGCTGAGCCTGTGTTTCCGCCCCTCGGGTCCGAGCACCGAGCCCCCGAGGGCGGCCGTGCAGCCCATCACCGAGCGCAGCCTCCTGCAGGGGGACGAGTGAGTGGGGTCCCAGCCGGGAGCGGGCGGGATCCTCCTCTGCTCTTCACCGTGTCCGCCGGCCCTAGGTCTGCAGCCTCGGCGGGACTCCGGCCGCAGGCTCCTCCCCACGCCCTCCTTCCGCCTCCATGGTCGCGGGAGTCTCCGCCCCTCCCCGGGTTCCCTCCCTCCCCGGGCCGTGGGCCTCTGCACGCTGGCGATTTAAATCCCTGCGCCCCCGCCCGCCACGCTGCTTTAAAACCTCTGCTGCCCCTCCACCCCTCCTTTTCTGGACACCTGCCCTTGTTTGGGTCGTCTCTAGAACTGAGCACGTAGTTAGAGACTGGACCTCCTGGGACACGTGGGTGGCCTTCATTCATTCAACTCGCGTTTATTAAGCGCTTGCTTAGTGCAGGACGTTGCTTTGCATCGGAGCATCACGATGTTTGGACACTGTCTCTCTTAGGATGGGAGATGAATTTGTAAACAGTTACTTGTATGGGTGTTACTAGTGCTCTACTGGGTATACGTGTCAAGTGTGTGAGATTTAAACGGGTGGTGGCTTTAGGGTGCGTGTCAGGAAAGGCTTCACAAAGAAACGTGTGTATGGTTCCTGATGGATGAATAGGAGTTTGCCTGGCAGGTGAAGAAAAATCTAGCATGTGCAAAGATAACACTGTGTGAGGTGGTTTTTAAGCCACTAGAGTCCACCAGACCTGAGGGCCCAGGTAGAGTGCTGCTGCCATAGAGGCGGATATGAAGGGCTCTGGTTATTGATGCCGAGGATCCCACAGACTGATGGGAAAACAGTGCACAAAAAAATGATAATTACCAAATCACCTGCACACAATGATAGAAATTAATGGGGGTTGGCGCCGGCAGGTGGCGTGCTGGTTAGGATGCTGGACCCCTACATAGCCGAGTATGGTTTGAGTCCTGAACCTGGTGGCTTGCTCTCTTTTCTTCTCTCTCTTTGGTCAAATAATAGTAAATAAAATAATTATTTTAAAAAACTAGGGATTTATATCAGCTGGGAAGGAGGGGTGGAGTTTCTGAGGAGACTTTATTTAAAGACCTTGAGACCCAGTTATAATTTAGTTAAATAAGGCTCGTAATTATGGACTGTTTTTACCATTCCCCCAAAAAAAGATGGAAGAGGAAGAGTGAGAATGAGAGCACTTGAGCACTGTAGGTGGGGAAGAGGAGCCCCTGGAGAGGAGGAAGGGACGAAAGAATGGAGTGTATGCACTGAGGCAGTCGCTTGGCACAGGTTTGCAGAGAGCTTCAAGTTAGGGAAGAGTTCTTGAGAGACAGGGAAGGAGCTGAGGCGTGGAAAGGGGCTTCCAGGGCAGTTATGAGGGGAAAAAGTAGGAAGCTTAAAAAGAAGGTGTTGGGGACAGTTGGTAAACATGGCTGCGTAGTGGTGTCCTATATTTGGGTTTGTACATAAGATAGTGAAAGGTTTGTGCTTCACTTGGACTGTCTAATCTTAAGCTGATGTAAAACTAAGCATTTTTTGTTAGGTAAACTAAATTTTTTGTTATTCCTGATTATGGTTTTTGGTAGATGACAGGTTGGTTGGCAACACATGTTAGGAACACATAAGAAATTTCTTTTTTCTTTCAGAATTGGGCTGGTTACCATTATCCCCGTTCTATTCTGTAAATATGTTTGCTGTGTCTTGATGAAAGCTTAAAAAGAAGGTGTTGGGGATAGTTGGTAAACATGGCTGAGTGTGGTGCGGGCTCCACTCTTCTCACTAGCTGATCGTTCTTCTACTCAGATACTCCCTTATAGGGCACTTTAACTTCACTGAGCTCCAGTTTTATTAGGTTGTCTGGTTCTGGACAGGATTTAACATTGGCAGGACTTTGGCCTTCTTGGAAAAGAGCTGTCCTGCCAGGTGTGTATGATTTATTGTAAGGGTTTATGAGGAGGACAGTTCATAAGAATCCACTGGAGATTCTAGAAATCTTTTACTAAGGTTGGCCCTATATCCTTCTAGCTACAGTTGTTCTGACGCTGATGGACATAAAGCACTCTCAATTGTCCTTCACTTCCTTGGGAGAACAAGCTCACCAACAGCCCTTTCTTCTAGGTGTGGTATCCACTGCATTTGCTCTTTTCTGACAGCCTCATTTATGAAGGAGCAAACAGCAGGCCCCACATTGCAGTGGTTAAGGCCTTTGCTCAGGGAGCCAGATCCCCCATGGCTGATGGCAGCTTGAATTCTGGCACTTGCAACTTGAAGAACATTCTGAGTGCTTGTTCGTATGTGCCCCAAATCCTGACTGGGTGAGAAATGGAGGAAAAAGCTTGTGGTGTGACCATGCCCATCTGAGAGGTGCTGTCTCTCTCTCTGGCTAGTATATGAGCCCTCTGGCAGTTAAAAAAAAAAAAAAGGCAGCACACAAGCAGCCCCTCCCAAACCCTGTTAGAATATCATACTCAGGTTCTGGAACAGGGCTAGGTATATAGGCAGTTATTCAGGTTTGGGTCTGTAATTGTGCATTGGCATTGCGCATTGACATTGGAGAAGATACAATTCCGAAACTGTCAGGAGGCGTGGTGGTTGAGGCGCTGGACTCCCTCAAGTCCCAGACCTGGCGGCTGGCTTTCTCACTTTCCCTCCTTCTCTGATTAGTGCATGTGCCCTGTAGCAAATAAAATAAATACATGAATGAATAAATAAATAACATTTTAAAATAAGAGAGATGATTCCAGCAGAGAGAATAGGAATGAACCATGCATGGGGGAGGTTTGTTGGGTAAATGGCCCAGTTTTCAAAAATAACTCTGTAAAAATAATAATTAATGTGGTTTATTTTTAAGCAAAATATGAGTGACCTAGGCCTGAAAAGAAGGCAAATATGCCTTTCTCTTGGGATGATCAGGTACAGGGGGTCTCTCTATTTGAATTTGACAGTGAGAGTTTGAAATTTAGTGAAGAAGGGGGTGCTTATAGGTTATAGGTGGGTTTTTACAGTTTTTAGGGTGGTGATTAAAAAAGAAAGGTTGTTGAGATTAAAAAAAAATGTACTTTTAACAGTGATAAAAAAGCTTAATAAACAGCACAGAGCTACTCCAATACTATGCCAGGGGCAGGATATAAAAGGAATTTTGTTACTAATGGGTCAGAATGGTCTGTTAATGTTTGTGGGCAGGACTCCCTCCAGGCCCTCTAGAAAGGATTTTGGAAAAAAAATAGAAAAAAAAATCAGTCAGACTTCTGTCCACAACATTGTCATTAAGGCTCATGTGTGATCCAAAACCAAATGTCATATGGGAGGTTGTGGTCCTAATGCTTCTCTGTAGCTCCAAATCCCTATTCATTAAATCAGGGATGTTTCTGGTTTCTAAACTTGTGTTCTTATAGTTATACCTCTACTCTGATTGTTTTATGTCCTAGTGGATTATGTACTGGGGGTGGGGGGGGGGAGAAGAAGCCTATCCAGTTATATACTAGGTTAAACACAGTTAGATACCTTTTTTTTTTTTAGTTCCCCCCCCCCCTTTATGACATCGTTGTGAATACTTCTAGCCAGTAAGTAGCTCGTATGTTTCATTGTTTCATGTTTAATGTCACTTACCTGTTATGGTTCATCTCAATTGTATTTTTTTTTTTTTAGAGAGTTATTTAATTCTAGTTGTTGTTGTTGTTATTATTATTATTATTATTTTAATTTTACCAGAGACAGAGAGTAAGAAAGAGAAAGTGAAAAAGCATGCCACCAGGTCTGGGACTTGAACCGCGCCGACCATGTGGGAATCCAGAACCTTTACCATGCCACCTGTCAACTTCAATCTCAATTGTATCTTTAAACTCTGATTTTTTTTCATTAAACTTTGTTTTATCATGCTGATTATTACTTTGGTAGTGAAACCTGAATTTTGGCCATGTAATTGGAATTTGCAGTCCTTATGTGATGTGATTTTTGGACTTTTCTTAATACTGCTGTGAATTAATGCTTAAAGGGATGGAGTTGGGAGGAGTGTCTACTTCATCTTCTTCCTCTTTTTTTTTTTTCTTTTAAGCTTAATTATTTCTTCCATGAGCAAGAGAGAGAGAGAGAGAGAGAGAGAGTTAGCACCCAACAGGGCCTTGATGATGCGACCCACCCCCAGCCTCTGCCAGACTCATAGTTTGAGGAAGAATATGGAGATAAGAGTTTGTCCTGATTCTTAGTTGAGTGCTCTTTTCACTTGACCCTATCACTTCTGCAAAATACCATTCAGTTATAAGGTAGGGTAACTGCATTTGCTGCAACCCGTGTGCGTTTTACTGTGAACTCCCTGTTCCCCTTTCATTTCATTTCTTCTTGGCCTAATATATTACAAATGAGGTATTTCATCCTGGTCTCACGTTTAGATTGACTCCTTTCCCAGGAAGGATAACAAACTTGTGGTTAGAGAGAGAGTTTATTCTCTTTCTAGCCCATGTGTTTGGATGCCATAGGAAACAAAGTGTAATGCACACCGTATTTACTCCTGAGTGGTCCTGGAAACATGATTTCTCACCCCTGGGCTTCAGGCTCCCATCTGTAAAGTGAGAATGAGAAAGGTTCCTACTTAGAATGTGGTTTTTGAGGACTGAGTGAGTTAATATGTGCAAATTGCTTAGACCAGTGCCTGGCACATAGTCCAAGGGAAGCGTACACTATCGGCTTTGGGAAAGTGTTTTGTATGGCATCACCTCTTGTTAGCCCAGTTATGTGATTTCCACTTAATTTTATCTTGGAGGCCCAACTTGGTTGTTTTTTTTTTTTTTTAGAAAAAAATGTGCTTTTTTTTTTTTTTTTTCCTTTGATATTCGGTATTCTTTCACTGTGTACTGACTGGACATTTATTTAGTAAAAGACATAGACCCTTCACTCTCACTGATTGTAGTTTTCCTCTTTTCAAGGATTTGGAATGCCCTGACAGACAATTATGGAAACGTAATGCCTGTGGACTGGAAGTCGTCCCATACGAGGACCTTGCATTTGCTTACCCTGAACCTGTCGGAAAAAGGGGTAAGTTAGGAACTGAGCCTGTAGTTGGTGGATAACATGCCAGTAATGGAACTAAGTTGGCAGCGTCTGTGTTTAACATGAACCCATCGAGTTGTGTCTCATTTTCAAGGCTGTCGCAATCGGAATGCTGCGGTCTTACCGTCATGGCTCCATTGCCAGCTCCTTGTGGGACGGTCCTCCAGTTCTTCCCCAGCACTCTCAGATTTCCGTGCCTTTTGCATCAGCTGGGTCTCTGCCAGCGGTCACCATTTCTTCCCTCAGATTGCGCTTTTGATGCTGAGGACACTCGATGAGAAGCCTTGCCTTTAATACAGTGTGTTGAGCGCATGGGATTGTCAACATGGGTTCACTTTTAGGTAAACTTAGTGACTTACTGAATATGACATGCTGCCAGAAGACGATGTATTCTTGTGAATGTTGGGGAACCTTCAAAAGACATTTTAATTCTTGGCTTTTCAGTGTGGTTTGACACACTTATCCTGTTCGTGGCTCTTGTGTGCATCCTGGTGTTGTAAAGTGAAGATTCCTTGGGTGAGAAGTGTGAGCACATGGTAATAGGATAGTGAGGGGGGCAGTCAGCAGTAAAGAATAAATGGAGTGGATGGTCATGGTGTCGTTTGTTTAATGCTGATGAGAAAAATAGCCAAATTATGTAAGTTTCAGGGCTAGACTATTGAATCACAAAACTCGTTCCGGATCTTCTGGTGTGCTCTGTATTTTGTTAAGTGTAATTGTATGATTACTAGGGCTTTCAGTATTTTTTAAAAATTATTTCCTTATTTTATCATTATTATTTTTAATTTGACCAGAGAGAGAGAGAGAGAGAGAGAGAGCGAGCACAAAAACAAGTTGCCAGGTCTGGGACTCAAACCTTGGTGAGCCATGTAGGAGTCCAGCGCCTTTAACCACCATGCTACCTGCCGGCCCTGGGCTATCAGTATTTTAAGTAGTAGTGTTAGCATCTCATGAAAATGACTTTCTTGAATATGTGATCGAGAAAAGCATATTGCTGTTATTTTTTAGTAAAATGTAGAATTCTGGCTACCTTTTCCAATATTCTAATGGATACAGGATTCTCGTTCTAATCATTGACCCTGTTAAAGATTTGCAGACTGACCTGGCATATGCTTAGTGAGAAGGAACAAAATGAAATATCTGATGTACTGTCTTCTGTTGATTTAGGGCCTAGCTATCATTTTGGGTTCAGGTCAAGTTTCCCTTCCTCTCTGAAGTGTCCAATTACTGTGGTAGCTTTTGCTGATCTCATGGAATTATACAATTTTAGAGTTGGAAGGGACTTTAAAGGACACTTAATCCAGCCTCTCACTTATGGGGAATCCCCATCTACCGCATCTCTGACAGATGGTCATTTAACCATGGCCTAAATCCCCGCTCGGAAGGACAACACACTCCTCTCTGTGGGAATTGATGACATTTGTGCGGCTGTGGACTTTTAGAGGACTTGTTATCTGTTGTGCAGAATTTAACCTCTTTGTGTCATGGTTGCTAGTCCTAAAGCATCCTTTGATGAGTCATTACTGCTTTCTCTTATTAATCGTATGTTTCTGGGTAGGTCATGCAATGATGACTTGCCATCAGGTATCACTATATTCGTCTATTTAGTCTTGGTGCCTGATAAATAGTGAGTCCTGAGATACCTGTTTGTTGAGTGAATGAATGACATTGTCAGTGAGATTGTAAGGTCAGAGATAGTAATGAAAAGGATTTTTTTTAGTATATATTTTCTGTGTTACTTAAAACAATGTTGAGTCCATAGTAGTCAGTCTATGAGTTTGATGTATTAAAAACAGCATAGAAGAGTTCCTTCCTTAAAAGCACATTAACCTGGGCCAGCAGCTGGCATAATAGTTATGTTGTTGAACTCTGATGTAGTCGACTGCAGTTCAAATCCCGGATCTGGTGGCTTAAAACTCATGCCGGGGACCAGCAGGTAGCGTGGTGGTTAAGGGCGCTGGATTCCCATATGGCCGACTGTGGTTCAAGTTCTGGACCTAGCAGCTTGCTCTCTCACTTTCCCTCTCTCTCTCTCTCTCTCCGTCTGATCAAAGTGAAAAATAATAATAGTAATAAATAAAGTTAAATAAAATAAATGAAAAAAGCAAACTCATGCCGTGTGTGTGTGTGTGTGTGAATGCATGCGTGTGTGTGTGTGCGTGTTTGAATGCATGCGTGTGTGTGTGTGCCCCAGATCCCAAGAGGAGAATGGAGGAGAAAGGATAGTGGCATGGCCATCCCCCCAGGGGCGATTTCTCACTTTCTGTCTCTCTGGCAAGCTCATGTGTCCGATAGCAAAAATCTTGAGAAAAAGAAAAAAAAGGAGCACATTAGCACCATGAATGGAACACTCCAATCCAATTTCATGGAATAAAATGTAATCTTGTACTCCTCTTATATAACATATTCTTATACAGAAAGTTGCTCCCTTTTGTTACCTTTGAACTTTTTCTTAATGGTGGAGGAGTTGGATAGCTGAGGTAGTGATTAGTAATGACTTAGAGTTTAGCACTAGTTCTAACTGTAAATGTCTTATCTGGAACAACTTAGCCAAATTGGCCAGCAGGTGGTGTGGAGGTTAAGGCTCTGGATCCCGTGTGGCTGACTGA